GGGGCAGGATCACAATTAGAATAGAGAGGCAGGATCATTTCCCTCGACCTGCTGGCAATGCTCTTCTAATGCACCCCAGGGTACCATTGGTCTTCTTGGTCATAAGGGCACTGCTAGTCACAGACAGCTTGTTGTCCACCACAACCCCCAGGTCTTTCTCCACAGAGCTGCTTTCCAAGAGCTCAGCCCCCAGCCTGTGCTGGTGCAGGGGGTTATTCCTCCCCACGTGCAGGACCCTGCACTTGCCTTTGATGAATTTCAGAAGGTCCCTGTCAGTGTCCTTCTGAAGGGCTGCACCATCCCAGCTGTGTTTCTGCAAGGAACTTGCTGAAGAGGCTCTTCTACTCCTTCATCAAGTCATTGGTAAATTAAGTTAAAAAATACGGGACCAAGTATTGACCCCTGGGGGACACCACCTGTGCCACTGATCATGATCCTCTAGGATCTGCCATTCAGTCAGTTCTCAACCCACCTCACTGTGATGCGAGTGATGTGTCCACTCATCCAGGCCACACTTACTGAGTTTGTCTCTCACAACATCCTCCTAAACAGTGTTGACAGCCTTGCTAAGTCAAGGCAGACAGTAGCCACAGCCCTCCCCTCATCCATCCAGGTAGTTGTTTCATTGTAAAAGGCAATCAGGTTGGATAAGCATAATTTAGCCTAAATTAATCCATGCTGTCTGCTTCTGATCACGTTCTTGACATCCATATGGGCAGCGATGGCCTCCAGAATGAGGGGCTCCATCACCTTTCCAGGGACTGAGGTAAAGCTGACTGGCCAGTAGCTCCATGGGTCCTCCTTGCCCTTTTTGAAGACTGGGCATGACATTGGTTTCTCACAGTCCTCAGACACCTTTCCTGATCTCCACGACCTTTCAAGGATGAGCAGCCTGGCTATGGTACCCTCCAGCTCTCTCAGTACTCGTGGATGCATCCCACCAGGGGCCCATGGACTTGTGAAGGTTAAGTTTGCCTAGCTGTTCTCTAACCCAATCCTCCTTGACCAAAGCAAAGTGCTCCTTGTGGCAATCCCTTAACTCTGGTCTCTGGGTCAGAGATTCCTGAGGGCTGATCTTGTCAGTGAAGACTGATGCAAAGAAGGTGTTCAGTATCTCTACCTTCTCTGTGTCCTCTGTAACAGGGTCTTTCCTCCATTTAGTAACAAGCCCACGTTATCCTTAGTTTTTCTTGTTATTGATGTATTTGAAGAAGCCCTTCTTGTTGTCCTTGACATCCTTGGCCAAATTTAATTCCAGATGGACCTTGACCTTCCTTATCTCACTTCTACTTACTCTGACAATCTCTACATTAATTCCAAGTGGCATGACCCTGCTTCCATCTCCTGTGTATTTCCTTCTTGTGCTTGAGTAATGACTATTCTTTTTTTTCATACACAGTTTTCTTGCACCCTTTGCCTGATTTTTTGCTTATCAGAATGCATTTTTCAAGGAAACAATCCTTGAATATCAGCAAGGGTCTCTCTTTAAAGCACAGATTCAGAAACACCTCTTAATTACTAAGAATTACCTTTTCTATAAAGTATTTTCATTACCTTCAATTACCAGGCATTAGACTAACTTGGAAGCAAGTTCAGCTACTGCCAATCACAAGAAAAATTAACCACATCTACTCATTACACAACAGCACTGACTGACGTCATGCATCAAGTTACATACTTTGACACGCCCAACATATAAAAATTTCTTTTACTATGTGAGCACACAGGTGTAGCCTAGCAACAACCAGAGCCATCACCCTCTTTCACATGCATCTGACCCCAATACAGCACATCTTTTGTCCCAAGCCCTAACAGGATTTTCTGGCAGAAAGTAATAAAAGAACAGCACTCCCAAGAAAATTATGAACTAGATAGGAACACATTAGAAGGTTTTGCAAATTTGGTTTTCAATGTAATCGTCTCTGGTTGCTCAGTGTATATAATCAAAACCCTGTTTAGCTCCAGAAACATCTAGTGGTGCTTCAAGTCCAGGAATGTGATCCTGCTTTTTGTTTTACTTCCTCCACTTGGGATCCTGAACTCCATCTCACGGCCACTGCAACCAAGGCTGTACTCAGCTTTCACATCCTCAGCCTTCCTTGTTTTAGGTGTGCATGGAAACAGAATGCACTTTCGCTCCGTACACTGCTTGTTCACAGCACCTGAATTGTCCTCCCAGCCCATCTGAGCACCACCAATCTTACACAAATTATTCCTATCAACCAGAAAGAGAAGTAAGCTTTCTAGGAACAAACCTGTAAAGCAAAGAAGCTGTACCCAAGGACCCCATGAGCCACATCATTGACAGTTTGGGATGTGGTATTTGGACCAGACTAGTGCCATATGTGCTCCTGGAACAGAGTTTCCCATTTAGTTTTATCCAAAAATGAATCAAATACTCTGAAGCTACTCCATTATTCAAGTGCAGTTGGGTGGGATAACAAGAATTAGCTTCAAAAAACATACTCATAATGCAATTTCACTGTCCAACATCAGTGCACACACAGCAGCCCATAGTTGAATTCACACTGCATTTGTTACCAAGGGCCAGTACTACATACCTGGAGGGTGCAAGGTGCTCTGCAGAAAGCAATGCAAGCCAACCTGAACCCAAAGAAATCTTGTCTCAACTTCCACAATGTAGGTATCAGAACTCAGAACTCCCAACACACAAAAAGTTTGGTATCACCTCCAAAATACTTCCTTAAAAGTTTACCAAGCAGTATATTTTAACTGTTTCACACAAGTGGCATCCAAATTATTTTTATTTTTATGATGTAGACAGACGTACTTGTTTTTGCAACACATTTAGGGGAGAAATTCAGGTTAGAAATAAGCAAGCACAGTAAGTGGAAGCCAGGCTGAATAAAGATAAATCTTCCACCACCAGTCCACTGTTTTATTTGCAGAACTAGGCAACATTTTGGCTAATTTACTAATTTATTTTATGGTAATATAAAACGCCCTGTCCTCCAGCCAGATACATTGCTTGGGTTCTTTACAGGAATTTCTGCCAAAAAAGGCTTTAAGGCAAATGCTAGTGCATTCTGACTAGACAAAAAAATTACTATTAATATACACTTTCCTTCCCAAAGCTTAAGGTTAATAGTATATGGTATATATACATGTGGGTTTGTGAGCAGATTTGTGATCACACATAGCATTAAGTGTAATTAACTGAAAATCAGGTTCTTATTTACATGTTTAAAGGTCACGTTTTCAAGAGCCCTCACTGTTTACAGGGCAGACTTTGTACAATATACTTTGTAGCATACTTAAGTTGCATACTCGAATAAGAACATCTGTCTTTTTAAGCCTAAAAGTCCCACTGTGGTGGGTTGATACCAGGCGCCCACCAAGTCACCCTATCACTTCCCTCCTCAACAGGACTCAGGGAGAAGAAAATAAAATGTTTAAAAATTATGGGTAATAAAGGCAGCTTAATAAAGCAAAAACAAAAGCTGTGCATGGAAGCAAAGGAAAACAAAAGTTATCTCCCTCCTTCCCATCAGCAGGAAATATTCAGCTACCTCCCCGGAAGCAAGGCTCCAGTATGTGTAGAGGTTTCTCCAGAAGACAATTTCCACAGTAACAAATGCCATCCTGCTTCTCCTTTCTCTTAGCTTCTATTGCCAAGCCATCACATGGTCTGGAATATCCCTTTGCCAGTTTGGGACAGCTGGTTCTGGCTGGTCCATCTCGAGCCAGCTGGCATCGCCCCTGTCGGATATGGGGTAACCTTCTGGCAGCATCTCACAGAAGTCACCCCTGTAGCCTCCTACCAGTAGCCCAACCTTGCCACAAACGTAGTACATTCAAAAAAGTGGTTGGTTTTATGCAGATATTCTCAGATGAGGAAAATAAGAATGACTGAAAAGCCTCACCTAAGAAGTATAGCTCTATTTACCCAGAAGTCAAACATCTCCTATTTCTGTATACAAACATACCTTTGAGAGGCAGTGGGAAATCCCAATTGCAGGTATAATGAAGGAGCTTGTATTCTTAATTACTTATGCCAGCTGTTCCAAATACCCTGATCCAGTGCCTTGAGGAACAGTCAGTAAACCTACACAGCTTAAGAAATGAGTTGGTACCTTACAAAAGAAATGGCTGCAGGCCAAAAGGGCAAGAAATATCCTTGGCCTTCCTCATCCTACTCTTTCCTGCTTTTCCCTGGCATAAGGAAAATAGAAGTCAGCTGCATTAATGGCCACTCTGTATGGGAATTCAATACTGAAACACATTTTCAAAAACAGTCAAATCTGCAGCCTGGGGCAATTTTGGAAACCTAAGTAAGACATTGGTAAGCCTACCTCCTCCAGACTTTGTGTCAATCCACAAGCATCAGGAAGAGAATCCCAGCTTCTACTAGGAACCTCAGGTCTTAAAGATTTTCATTCCATTTACTTGCACACCCAAGCTGTAAAACTCCCCAGCTGAAATTGCCACAACATAATAGTTATTTCCAGAGAGCAGCAGCTAAAATATATACAACATAAAGAAATAAAAACCAGCAGGCCAGCAAAGACTGCCCACAAACTATGTGCCTATTAGAACCTGGGAAGTTGGATTACGCACTCAGGAGATATGGATTCCATTCCCAGCTCCAAATATGCTAGAAACAGACCCTGCCAATGTTCTTCCATCCATCCAGAGGACATATTCCCCACACCAAGAGCCTGCAGGTTCAGTGTGTAGTGCCTCAATGCTTATGGGGTCTCTGATAACCAACAGAGCAAAGACTATTTCCCACCTTTCCATGCCTGCAGCAGGAATAGCATGACAAAACTGCAAGCCATCAATAACCATAAATAAGAGAAAAATACATAATGGAGGCAAATTATATTTGGAAGAAAACATTGAAGGAAAAGGAACAAAACAGCACTCTTTCATCAGCCGAGACGTCACTTAGTCATGATCTGGAGCATTCACACCTGCTCCGCTCTGTCACAAACTCCCACAGCTCCGAAACGCGCCGCCGCAGCAGCACCCCAACACCTCTCCTTCTGCCAAGCCTAAGCAGCATAACGGGATCATTTTGTCATTCAAGTTCCCACTTAGTTAATCACTGTGACATCTTCAAATCTCTGCAGTGTATTTCACACAGAATGTCTGCGCAAAGCAAAGCAGCCCCACCAGCCCAGCACAAGCTCCTGAGCTGTGCCCATGTGGGCAGTCCTGCCCCCAGGAGCACTGGGCTTGGCATCCTGTCTTACCTGTGTGCTTGGCCTTACTAACAACCCTGTTCTGGTTGGTTCTGCTCCCCATCGTTCCTACTTTTTTGATCTGTGATATCATAAAGACCTCAGTTCAGAGAAATTCTTCGGCACATGCTGCTCTGCTTTGGCTAAGGCAGACCCATGCAAGACAGATCTCAGACCAAGGAAGGGGACTAACAAGGAATAAGGAGGAAATTCTCCATGGACCTTTTAGGTACAAGGTATCTAGAACAAATACACTTTGGAAGTCCTTTAACGTACAGCTCTCAGGGCCTCCACAGACTTGAAAACCTTTGGAAATGTACCTCTGAACGCTTAGCTGAACAGGGATTTGTCAGTACTTTGCTGAATAGAGATCCAGACTACAGGAGCATAAACAATACAGGATATTTACTTTCTGTTCTTTGAAAAGTTCTGCTCAGTTCCCGTTTTTTCACTGCCTCAGCAGCAGCAATTTATCTATGTTGCATCCATGTGGACCTGTTCCATTCAGCTCCTTCTCCGTTACCATGTGTCTGGCAAGTGATACAAGGAATGTTTTGTTTTTATGACAAACATTCTCATTATATGGCAATTTCAATTACTTAAACAAAAAAGTTTATATAGCACCTTCCAAAAGCAAATTGGTTCTTTCTTTGAAACATACTGGTGATAGAAAAATACAGCAGCATAACCCTCCATTCCCAAATACAGCCGCACACAGCTACATGGATTGGTGCCAATAAAACGTAAGCTTCTGCCTCCATGGAAGTGAAATAACTTCTATAGACTGAAAATAGGAAGGAAGGAAGAATAAACAGAAACCAATGTCAGGTCTTGTAACTCATATTTGTGCCTGCATGTGGTTGAGCGTTGACAATTTCTAAGGCAAGACAACAGGTATATTTATAAACATTTTTTTTAATTGCAATACAATTACTGGATTTATGATTTTCAACCTTGACTGCTCCAAAAGTCCTGGGTAACCTATCCTATTTGGTCAGACATCCTCTTTTGACTCCATAGTATGGAAACTAGAGCACTGTCCTGATTCCCAGCTCCTGGTCTTCTGCCACAGACTGTGAACCGCTATAGCCAAATGATCTGGGCAAGCACGGAGCCACCCCTCCCCTCTGACATAACCAGAAGTGGGGTGTTTATCCAAGCCAAAGACTATGGCTGTCTCTACACAGCATCTTATAACCAAGCTGGTAATGAATCTTTGGCAACTAAGTGCCTAATTTATAGACAGAGCTCTAGTTCATGTTGTTGCAAAGCTAAGCCCTGTACACAAGCAGCCGACCAGAATTATTTTATGTCTGTACAGTGAGAACTTTCAGCTCCCATACAATTATAAAGCATGATGCTCTGAATGCTATAGCAAGTTATTACCAGCAGCTTATGTGCAGTGTTTTTTCTATCCACTGCAGTACTTGAGTGCTGCCATCAAACCAATACAGAAAAAAAAAATATTACTCCTATTATTCAGTCTTGAATGCAACATACCCACCTTTCCTCATCTTACTTCAATTGCTGCTCAAAATCTATAAAATCAGTTAATCCCAGGTCCAGCACTTGTTCTGCCACTCATCCCACTGAGTAATATTCTGACCACCCCCAAAACTTACCAATACCCACCTCAGGTAGGCTCAGATCTCATCTTGAGACCAGCAAAATCCTATCTCACCATTTAGGCAAAGAGCACATAAGCAAGTGCTGTAACCAAACAAAGCATCCCACTGCTGGTGAATTTATCTATTTAATGACAAAGCACCATTCAGCATAACCAGGTACCAAATCAAAGCCAAGTCAGGAGGAAAGCACTCCGGGTACAGCTCAGCTGTTTCACCAGCAACAAAAACTGCAACATGGATACCATCACCACCTGCAAACCACAGAGATGTCAACCCTTAATGGCTCTAAGATGGAAAAAGGAGAAGAACTACTCTACAGCAATAGACATTAATATTTTGGATTTTCTTTCTGGACTAAGTCTATGAAAGAATTAATTCAATTATGTTTCTGTACTGCTGATTAACCATCCAAACACAAAATGCTGGTTATTACAAGGCTGTGTTCTTCCCTTGTCTTTCAAAAGATATTAGCTACAGTCCAGATACTTACATATATAAATTCTGCCAGGCATGTTTAATGAAAGCTTTACCTTCTATCACGGCATTCTTAAAGTAGAGAATAGTCTGTCTTTTACCTTTCAGCATCATAATGAAAAACTAACTCGTTCCATGGAGTTGAAGAAAATACTGTGGCTAGCAGAGCCCTACTGAGAGACAGATTATTTATCTACTTGGGTGTGCATGCAAGAGTAAACTTGTCACAACTAAGGGGAAAAGAGAAAGGTAGCAAAGCTGCTGTGCTAACATTCTCCTCTTCTAAACCTCCATACAGCCCAGTGCAGTAAGAGATATGGTGTTCAGAAACAGCAATAGAGCAAAAGAAGGCTGGAGAATTTACTGGCCTCTGAACAGAAACTATTGGCAATCCAGGGTGCTGGCTTACCACAGTGTGCACCCTGCTCCATGGTCAGCAGTGGGGAAGACACATTCTGGGTGGACAGCCTAGAAAGGAACACGATGCCCTTTGAAACAAGAACAAAAACTGCAGCCACAAACCAAAACAAGTGTAACCAGTGCCAGCTTTCCAGGGACTAGATGTTGCCTGGAGCTCTGCGTGGCCCAGAGACACCCAGTGGTTGACTGGTACATCACAAGCACATGCAATGTGTGGAAAGGTTAAGGAAAGCATCCCGTCAGTTCATTTATTTACCACAACCTCGGGCTGGCACGATGCTTCTCTGCTCATCTCCAGTTCTCAGACTGGGTGAGGGAATAGATAAGAAGGTCTAGGGGAGAGGCCTGATTCTGAACAAGTGACAAACAGTGAGAAAGTGCAGGGAAAAGAGGAACTGGCAAGGTTTCACACTATGCATTGTTTTCCAGCTGTAGATGTTACCAACATCCTCTGGCCTTTCCTAAGGAAGTTCCTGTGCTCAAGACTCTGCCTTATTTGAAGTCTCCAGCTGAGTTTGGGTAATCATTACCACAGTCTGAGATAGAGGAAAATGCTATGCCACACTGAGGATCAAATGTCAGCTAAATGCTGCTTGTTGAGCTGCTAACATTGCCAGCAGCAGCTATACTTCCTGACTTAAAGGAAATTTAATGGCCCAAGAACAACTCGTCAAGGTATACATGCAAAAGAAAAGGCATCACCCTTCATATCACTAGCAGCATAGGACCAGGCTCTGGACTGGGGAAAAAAAAAAAAAAAAAAAAAAAAAGAGAAATAGATTCAACTTGAAGCTAGCTTTCAGTAGCTCTACAGAAGTATAAGCAGTTTTCTTTAACCCAAGTAGCACCAGAACTGTAGAAACTGACACACACTATGGGCCTGTCATACACTGCTCTCCAACACTAGGTTTAATTCTATCCAGCCCAGATTTAGGCAGTCATTAAATACTCAATATTAGCAGATCATCACAATCAGCATTTTCTAACAGAAATGGGGAAGGATGGACATCTCTTACCACCAAGATGGAAATCATCGTCTAGACATTAGCATCTCTGTACCTTGTATTTCAGACCCATCAACTAAGTGGCAAGTACTAGGAAGAGCTGAACTACACAGGGTCAACTAGACAGGATTAATATTATGCTCCCTTACTTTGCCTGCACTGTTGTTAAATCTGAGTAGCAATGCTCAGTTTGGATAAAAGTAAATGTACTACCCAGAGAAACGGAGAAATCCATGTTTTAAGCTGCTTTGTGGCTCCTTCTGGAAAACAACAGGATCAACTTTGCTTACAACCCATACCACATGCACAAGGATAAATGTAACCTTCACCCAAATGCCAATTTCCAGCAAAGTCAACTTTTCCTTTTTTTTTTTTTTAAGAATTGCATTGCAATTTTTCTAAGATAACAGTGCTTTTTGGAAATAGCAACAATATCGTACCAAGGGAAAAATAACAGGCCAAGGGCACGAGTAGGTGACCTTACTGCAATCATTCTACCTAGGAGACTTCAGAACAGTTCCACTTCCTGGCAGAAAGCTCAGAGATGCAGCACTAGTAACCCAGAAACGCTACAGTGACTCACTCATGTTCAATCAACTCAGATGCTCAGGGGAAACAACAAAGGCATCAAACAGGACACGGACCAGCCAAGCAGATTCAATATGGCAGCACAAACTGGACTCGAGCCATAGCTCCTTACGCTGAATTGCTGGCAACTCGCTTTCTGCCTTGCTCCTCGCATCTCATAAAATAAGCCCTCTTTTAGCAGAGGTTTGACCTACTCATGAACATTACTGATAGCCATAGGTGTTCTCAGAACACAAACTGATCATGGAATAACAATGACAAAGAAAACAACACAGGGAGATTTTATGTTCCAACATTCCTGGCCCTAAACACACAGAGAGGAAGTGAGGGAAACATCTCCAGCAATGCAGGAAAACTCAGACAGAGCAGCTGTATAAACCTGAGAAAATGGGGGCAGGCAAGCCTGATCACTGAGAACAGCATGACTAGCATGAAAAGAGAGCACAAACAAGCCCAGAAGGCTTGAAGTCCTCTTGCAAGCAGAAGGCAGCTAGCCCCCTTAAATCACACTCGGTATCTGCTCTTGTGCTCTGCTATTGAATTGGCAAAAATAAAATAAGAACAAACAGGCAGGGGACAGAACTAGGCCAGCTGCAACCCCCTTTTCGCAGTTGCTCCCAGCCCCAGCTTTCAGTATTTGCCTCTCCTCAGCCCTGCCCATGACACCCCTCATCAGCTACCCCCGATATAACTCAGATTTGAGGGACCTGTTCCACACCACTATGCAGAGACACTCACACACACATACTCAACTTCATCAGTGACACACATAAGCAACAAAAAACTAAGAAGGAAGGCTCCATCTTCTCCCTTCCTCCTCCTGTGTCATTAAAGCATCATTGTTTTCTCTGTGAAGTTTTTAAAGAGAAAACAGAAATGAACTTAAATGGAAGGAGTGTAAAAAGTGTCTGGTACAAAATACCGTATGCATAATAACTCTTCTCTTCCATGAGCTGAAAAGTAAACAGGACCTGCTCTGGCAGGAGCAACAGTGCTGTCTTAGGTAATCAGGTGATGGAGGGAGAGGAAAGGGTCAGGAATAAAACACACTGCCCACTGTACAGAGAAGAGCTCCTTTCAGCAGCCATGAGAAAGAAGACAGCAGAAGTGACAGCTTTGCTACCTCCCTTCCCAGCTGGCTCGCTGACCTGCCTAGAAGCAGCGTCCAAAACCACAGGAAAGGCTGGCTTTGTTTCCAACACTGCTGGCTAGTGGCCTTATACACAGGATGACAGAACGCTGCTTTCCTCACAAGTTATGATGGGGCAATTTATTTTCATTGGCATGAGCAGAGAAGGAGAGCCAGTCTGATCCACCCTGCAGCAGCAGGACACTGTGAAAGGCAATTTTGCACATATACCTCATACAGTCATAACACACTCTGAAACTTCATACTGTCATTGCACACACCCTGTCTTAGAACTAAACCATTCAACAGAGGCCTCTGCCTCCAGAAGATGAACCAAGGCACCTACAGTCAGAATTTGCAACCTTCCATACTCATCATCCATGTGCTGTTACATCAACATAAAAGCCTCTTTTGACTCCCTTCATGGCTATCATCTCCCCACTCTCTTACATTTCCACAGCAGTCTGTCCTATAAAGTCACAGGGGGATTTTCCCATCCTGCTGACATCATTTCCTCCTTGTTACACACCCTGTTCAGTCCATGCCACTTGGACAAGCTGCAGGCTGTGTGCTGGGTAGAATCTAACAGATTTATCCCAATCCAACAACCCCTGCTGACAAATCAAGGCCAGACTGGTGAGCAACAACTTTCTGTGCTTTCTGTGGCAATTTAAACTGTTCTAATCTAGATATACCAACAGTCACACTCTGCTCTCATCACCTGCACACAGGTATGCACTTGCACTCACAGGTACAAAATACCCACTAGGCTTTTTGCAATCTCATTGACCTCTTTGCTTCCCAGTCCTTCAAATTTGTTGTATCCACTCTAACCCTTAAGACTTAACACCCAGGCAGCTTGGCATATTGGATTTCAGAAAACCTTTTTCCACAATACTTCCAGCTTTCAATGAGTCCCTTACACACCAGCTCTTCCAAACTGCACTCAGAAACAGGTCCTGTTTGCCACAACAACCATGCAGTTCACCAAATTCTGAGCTCTATGGTAGGACCATCATATGTAAATCCTCACATATGGCAAATCAAAATGAGATGATCCATATCAAAGGAAGGGAAGAGGGGAAAGGGATACCAAGCAAACAACTTAAATGACTTCTAAAACCATCAGTGTATCAGCTGCAATAGCAGCACTTTGGAGAGGATTTTTCTGGGGCTTTTTATTATTACTATTATCTTATCTGCAGAAGGCAGGCCAAGAAAACAGAGAAATAGATGGAACCAAGCCTTGCATCTGAACAAGCTCTCTAAAAGCAAATACAGACACGTTTCAGGGCTGGCAGAACACTGTGCTGAAATTAAGTGGCGTGGGCTGTGATGGAAACACAATTTTTCAGATCTGGTAATGCATGCCAGTGAATAAAACTTCCATAGGCTGTACAGCAGCACCTAAATATTTGTCCTACTGCTGTTCATCCATAGCTGGCACAGATTCAGAGACTACAAAGACAAAGCCAAACCAAAGCTCAGACTGACTTTTCTACCTCCAATTTGCATTGCACTTTTCCCTCCAGGGATCTTTCATGGCTTGGTTTGGATTCCATCCCAGCTCAGTCCCAAACAGAGAGATGTATCAAACAATTTCAACACACTGACACATTTCATTTTGAATTTAAGTATTTGAAATTACTTTGAATACACATTCATGACATTTCAATACTCTACTGGATAACTTTTTAATCCACCCATTTCTCACCCCATGGGTAGAGTATAGGGCAGTGGGTCTGAACTAAAACCAGAAAACTGCACCAGGATAGAATGCAAGCTCTTTGGGTGGAGTGCTGTTTGCCAATGGGAAATTAAAACTTCATTACTAGCTACTCAAAATTTGGTTGTACCAAATACTATCCACTACAAGCAGGACACATGAGTCTGCAGCAAAAGGAGACTCCACGAGGCAGATGAGGTAGTTCTGACTTTCACCCCTTTCACTGCAGAGGCAGATAAGGGGACAACTAACTACCAAATGCCTTGAGAACGTAGAGCAAATACAAAGGACCAGAGCAACTCTGCAACTTATCAAAAGGCTGCTGAAAGAACAAACCTATAAGGAAATACTATCAGGAGGGGTCATTAAAACCATTTTCCTCACTGTAACAAACAACTTGGACAGCAGTAAAGGACAGCTGGCTCACCCACGGTAGCACTTCCCTTTAAACTGACTCCCATGCATGGTCAGTGGGGCTTCCATTGCCAAAAGCCACAGAGTGCAAAAGCAGTCTGACTTTGGATGAATCCTTGCTAGGACTGAAACCTGCAGAGGTGAACTGGGTGCACAGAGAAAGAACTCTAATGAGAAAAAAAAAAAAAAAAAAAAGCAGAAAACAATGCTTAATAAACTGTAAATACTTCCTTACAAAACATCTTGTGTGTTCTTACACTGGCTAAAACAATGGCCCAGAAGTGGTTCTCCTTTCATAACACAGTACAAAAGAACCTGAAACCAATATTGTCTAGCAATGCCTCATCGTGTGTCCCATGAATTGAGGCCCTGGCAATAACCCAGCAGCCACAAGGCTTATGACAGCTTTCTCGGGAACTTATGAGAATTTGACTTCTTTCCAATAAGGCCCTTAGGCTCCCAAAGGAATCCTCAAACAGCTTTTCAAGCCCTAGGAGTCAGGCCAGTGACAGCAAAAAGAGGATACCCAAAAGGCACTGCAATGACAATCCCACAGCAGAGCAAGAATGCAGGCAAACAATAAAACTGATGCTAAACAGATCCACAATAAACTGGCCCCAACTATAATTTGAACTGTAGGGCACTGCCAAAATGAAATGGTCATTTACTAACAGAGAAAGCAAAGAAACATAAAACCTCAATAGAACAGTAAGAGATCACAGACAAATTTTAGAAAGCCTAAGACTGCATCTAGATGAAGAAAGCTTCTCTTCTACTTCTTGAGCGTAACTCTCTGTCCTCACCTCTAGCAGGGGACCAGGATGTTCTGGGCAGCTCTTGCTTTCGCCTACAAAGGCATTCTATTATCCATTCCCCAAGTAAG